AGTTGTTAGCTGACAGCTAAGCTCTAACTTGATCGATGTGAAGGTGCTGTTTTCTATAGACTAGGGTGCCTGGATAATAGCAGCAGGATTTTCCTTTCAGTGAGAGAGAATTCACAATAGATGAAGAAGAAATCAAAGAAATTGTTAGAAATTATTTCCACCAAATATTTGCCCCAAAATCTAATGAATGAAATGGATGAATACTTACAAAAATACATAAGAACAAGAAATAGTGAGTAGAAAGAAGGCTTGTCTAAGACTCACACTCTCAGAGCCTGTCATCCATAGTAGTAGGGGGACCAATTCTTCCATCTCTTTCAGCTCCTCACAGGTAGATGTAGACTGGGCCATTGCCAGTCGCCTTGACCTATGTCTTGCCACTGCACTCTGATGACCAGGGAGGAAAGGCTGAGGCTGTTGACTTTGCACAGCTCTGCCTCACTTAAATCCAATTCACTTGCAAGTCAAGACATCACCCTTCTGATGTCATTGGTCCTCTTCGAAAATGAAGGACAAACAATGGTAGACATAAACTAAATTAGGCCTTTATCCAGGAGCCTCACATTCCTTAAAACTCCTAGGAAAGGCATGGATCTGCAACTCTGAATGGGTAGGTTTTGTAGGAGGAGTTGGCTTAGATGGCCTCAGTTTTCTTTCAACGTTAAGATTCTGAGGCTTACCAGCTCATACAATGCAGAAAACAGGATGCAGAATCCCAAAATTCAAATTAAGAATTCCCCCAGTTACAAGGTCCAAAAGGTGCAAAATCACCAGTATTTCACACAGTAATAACCTGCCTAACCCCAGCTGAGGCAGGTGGTAAGAATCACATCATTAGGGTGCTCCTCCTGGCTCTTGAAGACTAGATTCTTAATATTACCTAGAATCATAGGTGTAAAGCAGGGAAGGACCTCAAAATTTTCCCTGTACCCCATTTTACAAATGAGGAAATTGGCCTAGGGAAGGTAAGTGACTTTCCCAATAATGTCAAAAAATGTTGTGGACTGTGGATAGTATTAGCATTATTAGCATCCATTACTTGATTAAATACGTAATTACAAAAGGCTATTATAAATTCAGTAATGCATTTTAATAGTCAAACAATTAACCTACAAGCATTTATTAAGCACCTACTATATACCAGGCACTGTGCTAGACATTGGATGTGCAAACACAAAAAAATAAAATAATCTCTCTCACTAGGAACTTGTGTTCTAAAAGGGAGAACAACATATACATGTAAGAGTATATACAGAATGAAAGAGTGAACATAAAATAAATACAGGGTTACAGAAGAAGGGCTGTAGAAGCTGGGAGGAAGCAGGAGCATCAGAAAAGGCTTCATGGACCACGTGGTGCTTGTAAGGAAGTGGGGCATTCTGTGAAGTAGAGAGGAGGAGAGAGGGACCTCTGGGCATGGAGGACAGAAAGTACAAAGGCCTCTGTGTGTGTGGAGTATATGTGTGTGTAGGTGGTTAAGGGGAGGGGTGGCGAATGTGTAAGAGAGTGAAGGCCAGTTGTGGCTGGACCATAGAGTGAGGGCAGGGGAGTAATGTATGATACTGGAAAGATAGATTTAGACCAGGTTGTAAAAGGCTTTAAAACCCCAAGAGAGGAGTTTTTATATTTAGTCCCAGAGTGAACACAGAGCTCCCGGAGTTTATTGCATAGGAATGTGATGTGGATAGATCTGCACTCAAGGAAAATCATTTTGGCAACTATGCAAAGGATGGATTGCAATGGGGAGAGACTTGAGGTAGGGAAACCAATTAATGCCTAATAACAATAATAGCTACCATGCTTTAAAGTTTGCAAAACACTTTACAAATATCTCACACAACCAGGGAGGCAGGTACTATTATTATTATCCTTATTATTACTGGTGAGGAAACTGAGGCAAACAGAAGTTAAGGGACTTGCCTAAGAGTTGCATAACTAGTAAATGTCAGGGGCCAAATTGGAACTCAAGTCTTCTTGACTCCGAGTCCAGAGCTCTATCCACTGCACCAATAATTAGATAGCAATTAGGAGACCATTGCAATAGCCTAAGCAAGAGGTAATGAGAACCTGAACTAGGGTAAATGAGAAGCTATGAGAAAAGGGGTTGGACGGGAGAGATGTTGTGGAGGACAAATGACAAGATTTGACAATTGATTGGATATGTGAGGTGAGGAAGAATAAGGAGCTGAGGATAATTATGAGGTTATGAACCCAGGGGCAGCTAGGTGGCACACCTGGGCTTGGAATCAGGAAGCCTCATCTTCCTGAGTTCAAATCCAGCCTCAGACATTTACTAGCTGTGTGGCCCTGGACAAGTCACTTAACCCTGTTTGCCTCAGTTTCCTCATCTGTCCAATGAGCTGGCAAAGGAAATAGAAAACCACTCCAGTATCTTTGCCAAGAAAACTCTAAATGGGGTCACAAAGAATTGGGCGTGACTGAAACAACTAAACAATATGAATCTAGGCGACTAGAAGAATCATGGTTCCTTCAACAGAAACTGGGCAGTCAGAAGAGGATGGGGGGGAGAATGAATTCGTTTTGGGGTATGTTGAATTTGAGACGCCTATGGGACATCTAGTGTGACATATCCAATAGGCAGTGGATAATGAGGGACTGAAACTCAGGGGAGAATCTGGGGCTGGATTTGTGGCTCTGGAAGATCTCTGCACAGAGATGGTAATTAAACCAATGGAAGCTGAGGAAGTTACCAAGAGAACATAGAGAAAGAGAAGAGAAGAGGGAGCAGGCCAGAACCTTGGAAAACAGCTATAGTTAAGGGGCGTGCTATGGGTGATGAGCCAGCATAAGAGACCGAGGAGTGGTTAGACATCACAACAGCCCCATGCATTTCATAAGCAGCAATACATCCATGTTGGAGACCTAATCTTTAGTCATTCTCTAGAAGGTACATTTGCTTATTTGTGACCTCTCAGATTCTTTGCAGTAAGCCCATAGCCCCTTTCCCTTCTAACTCACAGGTTGGAAACCACTGGACAGGACTTTGCCAGGGAGTTGAAGAGTGGGAAAAGAAGCTAATGGGGAGAGGGAGTGTAAGCTGATGAGAACCCTCCTTAGTTGTATTACTCTAACTTCTCTTCTTCCACGATGCAGCCTTTCCCCATACATACCTTATCCTGGCACCTGACAATCTCCATTGATCCTACTTACCTGTTCCAAGCAGCTCTCTAAAGTCTGTCCCTTGTAGGTGTCAGCTGATAATTACAGCTTAGCTGATAATTAAAGTGTTAGCTAATAGCAGCTTAAGTTATGCCCCCAGGGGAGTGGGGGGGAATGCTGAAAAGCCCTGCCCCCCTGTGTATCCCTGACTATTCACAGACAACAGAAGGTTGGGGAGGGGGGAGGGAAGGTGAAGGAAGTGAATAAAGAAAGTTTAGTGAATCAGCTCTGAAAAAATGCTGGCCTTTAAGCCTTGACCTAGCCTATTGTTGGCCTCACACTGATCAGGCTAGGAGGTTTATCTCTGCTACTTGAACTTATCGAACCGTTATTCGTGCCAGAGGAATTTAGCTTCTGACACAAAGAAGGGGTTCTGCTGGTCCATTGACCTCGTGGCTGCAGCCAGAGCAGTGCCCTTGTCCTAGATTCCCCAAATTAGGAGGGAGGGAGGGACATTCTTCACTCTTCTGCAGGTTTCACCCCTGACTCATTTCTGTAGGACTTTGTGCCTTCACACCCCCTTATCTTCACTTTTCAGCTTCCTTTTATGTTTGTCTTCTCCCATTAGAATGTAAGTTCTTTGAGGACAGAGATTATCTTTCTGTTTACATTTGTATTCTCAGTACTTCCTGCAGTGCCTGTAAGCATTTAGTAAATGCTTCTTGACTTCCTTAACTTCAGAATAGCTCATGTACTGCCTCTTAGCTTCAAGGACTATGATTCAAGACCTTGGTGCAATGGATAGGGCAATGGGCTTGGAATCCGGAAGATCTGAGTTCAAATCCTGCCTCACGCAGTTACTAGCTGGTTAACTCTGGGTGAATCACTTACTCACTCTGAACCTCAGTTTCCTCTTCTGTAAAATGGAGGCAATAATACCTGTGTACCTGCCTCACTAAAAGGTTATTGTAAGGCTCAAGTAAAATCATATATATGAGATGCTTTTCTTTTTTTCCCATGTAGGTTTTATATATATATATATATATATATATATATATATGTAGTCATGCAAAACATATCCATGATAGTCATGTTGTAAAAGAAAACATAGACAAAAAAAAACCTCAAGAAAAATAAAGTGGAAAAAAAAAAGAGTTGCTTCAGTTTGTGTTCAGACACCAGCAGTCCTTTCTTTGGGGATGGATAGCATTTTTCATCCTAAGTCCTTCAGAGTTGTATGTGAAGTGCTTTTCCAACCTCAACATGGAGAGGCTGTGGAAACCATGGAAAGTGACAAATATGTTAGCTCCCAACTTCCTTGGGCTGCTTTAAAGAAAAATAACTTTTATAAATAAAATAAAGTGCTTTGTAAGCATATTTTTCCTTCTTCTCAGTGCTTTTATCTTTGTTTTTCCATCACCTTTATTTCTGAATACATCTTTCCTTCCCAGTCCCTGTCTCAGGTCTACATTTGGTCAAGCCAACAATATGATGAGGACTTACTGTGTGCCAGGCTCTGTGCTAAGTGCCCGGGAATACAAATACCAGCAGAAAGAAAACTAGTCATCTCTGCCCTCAATCCCTTGTAATGGGGGAAGAGCCAGGGACAATATTCCACACCTTCAAAGGAGCTGAGCTTTCTCAGTGGCTTATTTTTATTACTGAAACAAAACCTTCATTTCCCTCCCTCTCTTAGCCCTATCTCCAAACACCACCAATTTTGAGAAACTGTCCACTGCAAACCCTAAGAAAGCATGGGGTTTGGCAGCAGGCTGTGGCACTCATTGTCTTAGCATGCACAGGATAGCTTCCGCACCCTCTTGCATCTGCTGCGTGGGACTAGTCCAACAACTTCTCACTCTCTCTCTCCTTCCCCTCAGGGTGGCTGACTCTCGTCATCTGCACCTGTACATGCCCGCCGGGATGGCGTTTCTGGCAGCTATCACCTCTGTCGTCTACTATCACAACATTGAGACCTCCAACTTTCCCAAGCTGCTGATTGGTACGTGATAGAGCTGTTCCACAACCTCATGACCAGCCTCTGGTTTCCCTGTGTGTCCATAGTCAGCTGACAATGGCCAATCACAGGCACCAGAGAGGAGATTATAGCGGTGCATGGGAGGTTGAATCAGATGGTTCTAGAGGTCGTTTTCACCTCTGCAAATCTAGAATCTAGATTCTCTCTGTGCACCTCTTGCTAGGCTCTGGTACTGTTGTTTAGAGGGTTCAGGCTGTGTGTCTGGGGCTCAGACTGTTTCTGGTTCAGCCTGTGTACCTGGAGTTGGGAATAACCACTACCTGTAATCATAAGGTGGGGCTAGGTGCCCATCTAAAGTCCAGAGTGTGCTGATCCCCATCTCTGTCTCCTTACTGAGCCCTGTGTTTCTGCAGCCTAGGTCATAGTGAATACAGTTGGTTCAAGAGAGACCATAGGAGGGTGAGGGGAACGAGGATACTGATCTATGTTTGAGGCATATGTAGTATACCAGGAAGAATGCTGAATTTAGAGGGAGAGAACATGGGTTCAAATCCTGCCTCTCCCACTTACTATCTATTTGACCTTGGGCAAGCCACCTTACCTCTGATGGCCCATCAGAGGTTTGGGCTAGAAGGTCTCTAAGGTAAGGATTCCACTGTGAATCTGTGATCTGATAATTGAAGAAGACAGAAGAGGAGGATGTGGTGGGAGTGGGCTGAGCAGAGAAGGAGGGACATGGGAAAAATGATTAAAATATGGTAACTATAGTTTACATTTGTATGACAATTTAGAGTTACACAGACTTGTTTACACATGGCATCTCATTTGAGACAGACAATAGCATCGTAGGTTCTTAAAGTCTTCTATAAGGATGGGAGTGGCTATTGTTATTGATTCAATACTTCAAGAATCTCTCATTTCTTCTGTGTGGGTATGTCCACTAATGCCGTAGATTGGTCTGTGGCCTTATAGGTTGTTTTTGAGAGGTGCTGTGGCTGAAAAATTCATCCCACTCACCGTGTAACCTCCACAGTTAATGAGTCCTGGTATATATCCCTCCCTTTCACAGATCTGAGTTACCTAGCTGAAGTGGTAGGCAACAGGTAGCATTGGAAGAAGGTGCTGGGTTTTGAGTCAGAAGATCTGAGTTTCAATCTTCGTTCTGCCTCTTACTCCCTCTGTGACCTTGAACAAGTCACTTAATTTCTTGGCCTCAAAATGAGAGGGTTAGAGTACATGATTTTCACTTTCCCTTCCAGATCTAATTCTATGGTCCTGATCCTTTCCCCCTATTTTACAGATTGGAAAATCTGAGATACAGAGATCTGAGAGCCTATTGTAGGATAATATGATCTGTTGATTTCCCAGTCGGGGGCTTTTATTTTAAACAAAATAATCTCACTTTGAAAGGATTTTGTCTAGCCCGTGGTGGTCAGGAATCCTTTTTTGCATACGGATCACCTAAAATGATCATCCGGCCTTCACTTGAAGAATTCTGAGCGGCATCCCAAAGAGTGCTGGATTTGGAGGGAGAGAATATGGATTCAAATCCTGGCTCTTCCACTTGCCAGCTATTTTAATTTAGGCAAAAGCTCTAATTGTTAAGAAGCTTTTCCTTCTGTGAGACTAAGTGAGCCTCTCTTTAACTTCCATCCATCATTCCTGGTTCTGCCCTCAGAACGGGTCTGGTCCCACCTTTACAGAAGGGACAGTCACTCAAATGCTTCATAGTTGTCATGTCATTCTCCCCAAGAGTGGGTATGTGTATGGCTACATCCATTAGTGTTGTGGATTGCTCTGTGACCTCATGGGTTATTTTTGAGAGAAGCTGTGGCTGAAAAATGCATCCCACTCACCATGTAACCTCCACAATTATCGGGTCCTGGTATACGCCCCTTCCTTTCACAGATTTGAAGTCTCCTTCTCTTTGGGCATGATCTTGAGGGCTTTCCCTATTCTGGTCACCCACTTCCAGGCATCCTTAAGTTTATACATGTCCTCCTTAAATATGGCAGCTAGAACTAAACCATGGTTCAGTGTCATGTCTGAATAATGCTATAAACATAAGCTGATGAGGGGAGGGGCCAGAGGACAGCAGAATGGTCACCACCTTTATGTAGAACATTGACCCTCTCTTGCATGTGCAGAGGAGGGCCTTAGCTTAGGGCTTCCAGAGTGCCTTGCTGCTGGCAAAGGGGGCAGTCAACAAGCATTAATTTTTCTAATTATTTTTTCCATTAACAAAAATCAATTTTCTCCCCTTCCCATTCCATTCCCTGACTTGGGTGGGGAGGACCTTTTATAAAAAAAAATGTATAGTAAAGCAAAATAAATAACTGTATTGGTCGTGTCCAAAAAAACATGCCTCAGTCTGCATCCTGAGTCCATAACCTCTGTCAGGAGGTGGCTGGCATATTTCATCATTTTGTTCCCTGAAATCATAGATGGTTGTTGCATTGATCAGAATTCTTAAGTCTTTCAAAGATAGTTTCAACAAATATTATGCATTGTATAAAGACTGGGGATAGAAAGAAAGATAAAACCAGTCTTTGTTCTCAAGGTGTTCACATTCAAAGAGGAGTGACAACATGCAACTGGCTATGTACATACAAGACATATATTGTGTATACATATAACATATATGTTTTTAAATATACACATGTTTACATACATGTGTATATATGTGTCTGCATATAATATGTGTCTACATATCAGGAATATGCTGGAACCAACTTGAAGGGGCTCATGAAATTGGCAAAGAATACAAACACATGTGGGCTTAATTTATTGTTTTCTTGGTCATCTAGACCAGTGGTATTAAACCAAAATAGAAATGGATCCCTACCAACTTAGAAAAACACAATTAACATTATCTATATGGTGCTATATTTTTATTTATTTCATTAAACATTTGCCTATTACATTTTAATCTGGTTTGGTGGTACTTGGAGTTTTGCAGGCTTCATGCAGCTGGCTGCCTGGAGTTTGACACCTCTAGTCAAGACTTAAGAGAATGATGGAGAAAAATGTTAATAATGCGAATTAAACTTAAAAGTATGTTGTGTATCCTTTTTTTGCAAGCCAGTTGTTAAACCCTTGTCAGCACTTCCCTGTAAATAATACATATATGTAATATAGATATTATAGGTATATATGTAATGTGTGATATGGATCCATCTTATTATATGTATTACATAAGATATACACAATACACACGGTATAAATCTAACTCCCTCTGAGTAGTCTTAAAGGAAAGTCTGCCATCTCATGCTAACCAGGTCTGGGTGGCAGGTAATTTACATGACAGGTGCAGGCATTCCTTTCTCTAGGCCGAGCAGGGTGTCGAATATAGTCTGCTGACAGCCAGTGTCAGGGTCCAGCTTCCTAAAAGACCCTTCAGTCAGCTGGGAGCATTCACTGACCCAAAACACCCACCATGGGGCAGCTCATGTTGGAGAGTCTATTTTTTAATTCACAAGGAAACAAAACAGTGAGTAACTAAGATTTTCTTTTTATAACCTAAGTTACCTCTTGGGAAAAGAGTTGGTAGTTTCTAAGGAAGAAGGAACTGATTCCTCTTGCTTTTTCAGGAGCTCTTCTGCCCTGCCAGGGGACTGATCTGTAACATGTGATGCATGCTATAGGAGAAGGCGGCTAGGGGCAGAATGTAAGCTCCTATGGACTAGGGATTGTTTTGTTCTTTGTACTTAGATCCTCAGCCCTAGTACGTTGCCTGGCACAGAACAGGCATCTAATTAGTACTTGTTGGTTGATTGATTGATTGATTGGGGCAGTGGAAGCCAGAGTGAGTCTTGGACTCACACTCAATTTCATCATCATCATCATCATCATCATCACCACCATCACCACATTTTGCGTTTATTTAGCACTTTATGGTTTGCAAAGCACTTTATATAAATTATGTCATCTGATCCGTTCAACATTGGTAGTTAAGGGCTATTATATTCCTGTTTACAAAAGAGGAAACCAAGGCTGAGAGGGATAAAGTAACTTGCTCTGGGTCACCCAGACAGTGTGTCTGAGGTCGGATTTGAACCCACGTCTTCTTGATTCCAAGTCTGGTACTCTAACTTTCTCTCATACCTACTTAGGATCCTGTTATCATAGACTTAGAGCAGTATGGGGCCTTAAAAGTCATCAAGTCCAACTTCATGATTTTACAGATAAGGACACTGAGGTCCAGGGGCTCACTCAAGGTCATGGAACTAATAACTGTCTGAAGTGGTATTTGAACTCAAGTCTTCATGGCTCCTAGTCCAATGCTCAGTCCGTTCTACCATGCGGTCTGGAATCACTACCACCATCCCCTAACATATACTTATAGCTGAACTCTTCTAGCAGACTCACAAACACACTGGAGAGATCCATGTTTGTATACAGATTCATCCTTACACACAGATTCACACTCATGCATAGGGTCACATGGGCAGCTAGGTTGCACCGTGCATAGAGTGCCAGGCCTGGAGTCAGAAAGACTCATCTTAAATTCAAATCGCCTCAGACCAGACACTAGGTATGTGACCTTGGGCAAGTCATTTAACCCTGTTTGCCTCCGTTTCCTCATCTATAAAATGGCTGGAAAAGGAAATGGTAAATCTCTCCAGTATCTTTGCCAAGAAAACCCCCCAAATGGAATCACAAAGAGTCAGACTCGACTGCAGTGACTGAACAATACCATAGGTTCGCGTGGACACAGACACGGAGAGTCACAGCTCTTCCTCCTTAGGCCCATACACACACGTTTCCCTTTTCTCCATTTCAGCCTTGTTGATTTACTGGACTCTGGCCTTCATAACCAAGACAATCAAGTTTGTCAAGTTCTATGACAATGCAATTGGGTTTTCTCAGCTCCGCTTCTGCCTTACCGGGCTTCTGGTCATCCTCTATGGAACGCTGCTGACTGTGGAAATCAATGTCATCAGAGTGAGGGTAAGCAGCTCCCGGCCTGCTCGGTCCCCTTCTCTGTTGTCAGTGCTCCGGGGACAGAGCTATCCTGGGCTTGGGACAGCTTTGAGGGAGCTCTTGTCCCTCTTCACCACTGGGCATGCTCCCTCCCTCTGACCCTAGGAACTCATCTAGGCTCTGCTGGGCTCCTTTATATGGGGTTAATGAGAGCCATATGAGTCAGTACTAGGAATGCTGGAGGGTTTGAGAAGTGATAGGAAAATTAAACATTCAAAAAAAAAAAGTTGGGAGAGTCCAAATTTAGTTTGTAGAAAAAAAAACCACAGGTAAACAGGACAGGAGGGAATTCATAGGATCTCAGATTTAGAATCAGAATGGAGCTTAGAGGTTATTTAGTTGTATCCCCTCATTTTTCAGAAGAGGAAACTGAGGCCCAGAGAAGTGAAATCTGGATAAGTGGTAAGTCACACCCAAATCATCGGTCACAAATTTGTACCTGAAAGGGACCTTAGAGATCCCCTCTTTGAGAAGAAATGGCCCAAGGAGCTGTCCAAAGTCACCCAGGCAGCAAATGATAGTCAGGACTCAAACCCAGGTCCTTTAACTCCAAATCCAATGTTCTTTCCACTATACCATTCTCCCTACTCTATGTGTGTCCTTGATTCTATGGAGAAGTGAATAACTCATAAGATCACGAGATTTAAAGCTTACAGAGAGCTCAGAGGTAAGCTAGTCGAACCCTTTCATTTTCTAGATGAGGAAACTGAGGCCCAGAGAAGGCAAGCTACTTGCCTAAGGTCACACAGGTAGTATTTAGCAGAGTCAAATTTGAACCCAGATCCTCCACCTCCAAATTTTGCCACTCCTATATATTGACTGCCTCCTTGGGAGGACAGGATAAGTAAGGACAGCTTAAACCACAGCAGGACTGAGTGAGAGTAGACCCAGGAGGTTATGAAGCATTAAAATAAATAGTCAAAGGAAGCAGCTAGATAGTGCAATGGATATAGCACCATCCCCAGAGTCAGAAGGACCTGAGTTCAAATCTGGCCTCAGACACTTGACACTTACTAGCTGTGTGACCCTGGGCGAGTCACTTAACCCTGATTGCCTTGAATGCATAAAAAAACAAATATATGGTCAAGGGAGATGATGCATCTCCTTTCTCAGATATCATTAGTGATAACTCATAGAACTCATATTGCCATAGTGCTTTTCTAGTTTCAAAGAATTCTGTTCCTTTATTGATTATTCACAACAACTCCAAGAGGTAGTAATGCAAGTATGCCCATCCCCATTTCACAGGAGAGAAGACTGAGACTTAAAAGTACAAAGTAACTTCTCCAGAGTCACACAGTTTTCATGTATGGTTCATATCCCTTGGGCAAGTCACTCATTTTTCCTGGGCCTCAGTTTCCTTAGATGTGAAAGGAGGAGGTAGGACTGAGTGGTCTCTGATGCCCTTTCGAGCTCTAAATTTGTTAATTAAGCTAATAAGTGATAAAATTTGGACTAGAACTTGGCTATGCTAAACGGCGAATTCAGGGCACTTTTCATCCCATCTCCCAGAGGCCAAGCCCTGGCATCCCTTACCATGCTTATTTGGGGCAGGGCAATGAAAGTCACGTAGGTCACTCACTGCCCACTGCATGTGTGCTTCCCAGAGATATGTGTTCTTCAAGACTCCCAAGGAGGTGAAGCCACCAGAGGACCTGCAGGATCTGGGTGTACGCTTCCTGCAGCCCTTTGTGAACCTGCTGTCCAAGGGGACCTACTGGTGGATGAATGCCTTCATCAAGACAGCCCATAAGAAACCCATTGATCTGAAGGCCATCGGGAAGCTGCCCATTGCCATGAGGGCCCAAACTAACTACCTGCACCTCCGGGAGGCCTTTGAAGCCCAGAAGGTCAGTGATGGACCCGGTCCTCGTCAGAAGAACAGGCTTCTTCTGGGCCCTCCACAGCCACAGAAGGCGGGGGCGGGGGGAGAGGTTTCTTCAGTCTGTGTTATAATCCATTACAGCTTAATTAAAAAGGGCTTTCACCAAGTCACCAGATTTCAGACCCAGACCTGACCTTGGAGGACATCTTGTCCTAACCAGAACAGAAATCCCCTCTGAAGATGGTAGAGAGCTTATCTCTTAAGGTCATTTAGATAGCTTCAATAGAAGCAACTTAGCATGGGGTCAGGAGGATCTTAGTTCAAATCCTGCCTCAACATGTTCTAAGTGTGTGACCCTGGGCAAGTCACTTAACTGCTGACTGCCTCAGTTTCCTCATCTGTAAAATGGGGATAATAACACCTGCCTCTCATGGCTGTTGTGAAGATAAATGAGATAATATTCATAAAGCACTTTGCAAACCTTAAATGCTAGCTATTGTTAGTAGAAATATTTTCTTTATAAGAAACTGGAATCTGTTTTTTAAAGTGTTTTATTGATGTTTTTTCTTTTTACATCACTGCTATGTCCCAACTCTACCACTTCCTTAAGCAGGACCCTTCCTTGTAACAAAGTGCAATTAAGCAAATCAAACGCCTTGATTATCTGACAGCATATGCCTCATTCTGTACCCATAGTCCACCACCTCTCTTGAAAGGAGGTCAGTTTCAGCCTCACTCCTGTGGAGTCAGGATTGGTCACTGCATTGCTATCAGTTCTGACCTCTTTTAAATTGTTTTCCTTTACTTAATTGTTGCTCTTATGCATAACAGTTGTCCTGGTTCTCATTTTCCTCTTCAACAATCCATACAGCCTTTCTAATTCTTTCTATTCATTGTTTCCTACCACACAATGCTATCTTATTATATTCATGAATCACAGAATTGTTCAGAAATTCTCTGAGTGATGAGCATGCTCTTTGCTTCTGGATTCTTCATATCATAAAAGTGCTGCTATGAACATTTTGGTATATAGAGAGGTCTTTTTGTCTTTGACTTCCCTGGGGGAAATACCCCAGGGCACCCACCAGTGGTACCTCTGGGCCAAAAGGTATGAACAGTTTAGTCACTTCCTAGCACAGTTCCAAATTGTTTTCCAGAATGGTTGAACCAATTTGCAGCTCCACCAATAATGCATTAGTGTGCCACTCTTCCTGTGGTTGCTGAATAATGCTGATTACTAAAATTCAGAGTTGTTTTAATTTGTATTGCTCTTATTAGTGATTAGGGGCATTTAAAAAATATAATGACAACTAACACACATATCACATTTGTGATTTGCTAAGTACTTTACTTTTGTTGTCTTATTTGAGCCTTGAAAAACCCTGGGAGGTAGGAGCTTTTATTGTCATTATTCTACAGATGAGGAAAGTGAGGTTGAAGAGGTCACATAGAAAGGCAAACAAGAAGCATTTTTTTCGGCATCTACCATGTGCCTAGAAAGTATCTGAAGTGGGATTTGAACCTAGGTCTTCCCGACTCCAAGTCTAGCACTTCCTCCACTGCACCATCTATCTACCTCATCTAGTTCATCATTTACCTTTTGTCTTCTTTTAACTGTCTATTTGTAGATTTTAATCACTTACTATTGGGCATGACATAGATTTGTGCCAATTTCCTAGAAATTTTAAAGATCAGACCTTTATCAGAGTAATTTAATGTGAAGGTTTTCCCCCAATTGACAGTCTCTTTTCTACTCCTAGTTATATTGATTTTGTTTTGTACAAAAGCTTTTTGTAGTGATAACTGCCTTTCTGAAGCTCCCATTCATGACTCCCCCCATAGGGCCAGGCAGAACAAATCTGATCCCTCTTCCTGATGACAGACCTCCTAATACTTGGGGATGGTTTTGACAGCCATCTAACATTCTGAGAAGTAGGCAGGGCGGGGATAATTATCCCTATTTTGCAGGTGGGCACACTGAGCCCTAAGACACGAAGATCACATAGCTAGCTAGTGGCACAACTACTGATTTCCCATGTATCCAGTCTATTTTTGCCTCTTCCTCATGTTGCCTCAACATACACCTACACATAAACTACTGACAGAGGAAGATGGATGCTGACCCCCTAAAAATGGGTGAGCTCAATAGCTCAGCTGCCCAACTCTGCCTGGTTAAAATGGGTTCTGTCCTCTTCATCTCAGCAAGCTCATCCAAGTGCAAGGAGACGGCAGCCATTAGGACTTTCAAGTGCTGCATATATGAAGCTGCTGTTACTGTGGTGGTGAGGACTGGCAGCCCAGTGTGGGGGATGTGTGGGGAGGTAGTGGTCATGATCAGTCTCCGGGGAACAGTTTGCCCCATCCATTGTGAGGGATCTGATTGTGCTGTTGTGTTTTCTTGCTGGATCAGGGGAAGGGCTCCAGATATTCCCAGGGCTCCCGGGCCATCTGGTGCGCTCTCTCACATGCCTTTGGGAGAAGGCTGGTCCTCAGCAGCACATTCCGGATCTTGGCTGATTTCCTAGGATTTGCAGGGCCACTGTGCATTTTTGGAATTGTCAACCACCTTGGGAAAGAAAATGGAGTCTTCCAGCCAAAGGTAAGCAACCCCCATGAGCCAAAAGGCCCTCTCCAGGGAGCAGGGAAAAGGCTCAACCCATTCCCTCACAAGGGCAGGGGGAGCTTCTATGGAAGGTCTTTTGTAAGAGACTGTCAGATAAGAGACAGGCTGTGGAAGTCTGTAGTAGCCCCAGCCTAAAACACCCCCACCTGCTATAGGACACACAGCTAAATATATTGGAGAATGTGGGGAGAGAAGGGGGAGGAAGGAGTTTCTAAAAGTAGTGACATAACAATCATGATGTACAGGGGAAAGAGATCTGAACTTGGAATCAGGTAACCAGGGTTCCAATCCTGCCTCAGACATTTACTAGCTGTGTGACCCTGGGTGAGTCATTTAATTTCTTTAGACTTCAGTTCCCCCATCTCTAAAATGAGGGGTTTGGATTTGATGACCTTTAAAATTCCTCTCACCTCTAAATCTGTGATCTTGTGACTTGGGTTCGAAACACTGCCCGACATTTAGTAGCCATGTGACCTTGGAAAAGCCACTTCCAATCTCTGAGTCTCAGTTCCCTGGCTGTTGTAAGGAAAAGACTTCATAAACCTTAATTTGCTTAATAACCATAATAATAATAGAGCTGGCATTGATATAGCGCTTCAAAATTGGAAAAGTACTTTACAGCCATAATCGCAATTGCACATCACAACTGCCCTCGGAGGTAAGTTTTGCAGGTATTATCCATCTATTTTGTAGATGAAGAAATTGATATTCAGAGGGTTTAAGTGGTTTGCCCCTGTCATCTAGTTAGTAGAGGGCAAAATCAGGATTTGAACCCAGGCCTTCTTGTAAGTCCAGTGCTCAATCCACAACACCAAGCTAAGTTATTGTTCGCATGGGCTGTGTTTCTTTCCAGAGAAGTCTAGTCTCTCCTTTTTTAAAAATCTGTTTGGGGGGGACAGCTAGGTGGCACAGTGGATAGAGCACCAGCTCTGAAGTCAGGAGGACCTGAGTTCAAATATGGCCTCAGACTGAACACTTGACACTCACTGTGTGACCCTGGGCAAGTCACTTAACCCTGATTGCAAAAGAAAAAATCTGTTTGGGAGCAGCAGGTCAGGTGGGCCTTGAGGCAGCACACTATCTCCCAAGAGGTGGTCTATACTGTCAGGGAGTGGGGCAAGTAGTGATGCAATGAATTTGGGGGTGTCACTGGAGCAGCAGCTGTTGGATTCCTGTTGGTGTCACAGCTGTGAGTATACCCAGTATCTTCCTGATGCTTGGGGAGCCGGGTATGTAATAGAAGGGCTGCTGCCTGTGGTACCATAGCTTTAAAGGTTTATCTTCATGCTCGGGTAATGCCTTCTATCTGTGCTCTCACTGATAGAAGTATTTCTGCCACTCCCACAGATTGTAATTCTTTGGTGCCTTCTCATTCTATGTAGTTTATATCTGCGTCTTTCCTTAAATCCTCCCTGGGAAAACCACCCTGTGCACTGGGGGCCTTTCCCTAGCCCCTTTGATATATTTAGGATACAAATGTGTCTATCTGCTCTCAATACACAATTGGCCCACCTCCTTTTTCAGTCATCTATGGTGAGGGTAGAGTAGAAATAATAACATGATAACGTAAGTAATACCTTGATGGTAGAGTGGAAATCATAACAATACTTATGTAGCACGTTAAGGTTTGCACAATGCTTTACATAAATTATCTCACTACTATCCTCACTACAACCGTGGGAGGTAGATGCTGTTATTATCCCCATTTTATAGATATGAAAACTGAGGCACAGAGGAGTTAGATGATGTATAGGGTCACCCAGTCAGTAAATGCCTGAGGCAAGGTTTAAACTCAAAATCTTTCTGATTCCAAGTCCAGCACTCTATTCACCATTTCATGGAGCTGGCTTTTTGGGTTGGGGGGGAGGGGCAGGGAGGAGAGAAGAGCAGTCTAGAATGAAGTTTCCTGTGTATTTGCTATATGTAAAGATAAACTGGGGTAGAGATATTGTCATAAAAAAGAGTCTGCAGTGATTTGGAGTCAGAAGACCACCTCTGCTTAAGTGCTGAAGCTGTTCCTTCATCTGGAAAATTAGGAAGTTGGGCTCAGTGACTTCAAAGGTCTCTTCCATCTCCTAATCCTGGGATCCTATGTCTCGACTGCCATCTTTCTTGTACAAGTCACCATAAGTAAGATGCTGCTTCCCATATGTCCCCACCATGAATCTTCAATATGCAAGCTTCATTCTTGTGAGATCTTGGCATTTCATGATTCATAGAGCATCACCAGGAGAATATTGGTGGTAAAGAGATAGGTTTTACATCAGGAAGCAGTTTGAGATCATTGAAAGTGCAGCATGATACTCCAAATAAATGTAGCCCATTCTCCTACTTGCCTCATTCCGTCTATCTTTACTACTTGTACTATATATGCTTGCCTCAGTTTCCTCAACTATAAAATGAGGGTAATAATAGCACCTACCACACAAGATGGTTGTGAGAGTCAAATGAGATTATAATTGTAAAGATCCTTAGGGTAGTCCATCAATTATCAAATCTCCTATTTCTTGGGGATTTTTCTATTTCTTGTTAAAGGTTGTTTAAAGGTTATAGTGTAATGTTTGTAGGCTAACTATGGTTTGTATATTTTCTACAATTATCGAGTACTCTAATTCTAGGGGATTTTACTGTCTTTTTATCCATATAGAGGTTTTAATGTATTATTTATGGACTAATGTGCAGCTTATGTATTTTCTATTTTCATTGAGGGGTCACTTGAGTCCTTTGCAGCTCCTGCATTTTCTATGGAGTGAAATAAAGACTATCTCATACTCAACATGCATTTCTTACCTTGAAAGCTTTTATAGGAGCTAGGGACCTTATTCCTGATGTCTGTGGAAGCCTAGGCATGACCTGTGTTCTGATACTGATGAGGTTTTGAGAGGTTGGGACCCCTCAGAAAAAAACAAAGTACAAAATGGGTCATCTGGAATGAATTCACAAACTCAAGCAATCTTAAGCCAAGTTGCAAAAAGTTTATTGTTACGCTTTTCAGGGGCAAGGATTCTTAAGGAACCTGCAATTTTAAAACAGTATAGCTAACGTTTATATAGTATAAAATATATAAGACATGTGTCAAATATGCTAACTAGGGGATTCAGGGCGGGATTAGGGAGTGGTTAAGGAGTGGTCAGTTCTTAAAGAAACATACACTTGTATCTGCTGCGCAGGCGTTTTACCCAGAGTTCACTGGGAAAAGCCCACAAGGGGGGCCACATGGAGGTGTGGTTTTAGGCCTGCGTTGTCACTGAGTCAACTAGAGTTCAGGGGTAACTGAGAGTTGTCCAGTCTGTCACCAATCAATGTCTTGTTTGACAAGATAGATGTAGGGAGTACACATATGTTTTAAGTCTAGAAGAGTCCAGGATGTAGATAATGAGGTAGGGCAGTAGGATATAGTCCAGTGGGTAAAAATGTCTTTATGAACCAGTGCAAAGCCAGTTCAAATTCATAAATCCTTCAGGTGCTGTTTGGAACTGCACCAGGGAGAGAGATAAGGGTCTTGCTGGGGCCCACTCATGAGTAATTGCTAGGCACAGGGTCTTTGGGCTGGGGAGAAACTGTCAGGGATAGTGCTTCTGAGGCTAGAGAGAAATTGAGGTCCGAGTACAAGCACCCAGACATAAGCACCCAAGCACCCCAACAATACCTCAGGATAAATTCTGGGTGTAGGCCACATACACACCTCTCGCCTCTGTTTGTGTGATTCTAGAGCTTGACGGTCCTGAACCATAGGTTACAATCATACATTTTGTACTGACTTTCCTATGTACCTGTTCTTGCCTCCCCCCTTCCCCCCCAAGAACATAAGTACCTTGAATCAGGGACCCTCTGACTTTTGTCTATATATGTTCAGCACCTAGCCCAGTGTCTGAAATATAGGAAGGGTTTATTGAACTGCATGATCCTGGGGATAAAAAAGCCCTAATCCCCATCCTCATTTTTCCTTTGAGTCATTACAGTCATTCCAGAGGCAAGCTTTTGAGGTTCCCCACACACACTGCCCTTCCCCCAACATCCTGCTGGTGTTTTGATTTAAATGATAGCATTGCAGCAAAGAGCAAACCCCACAGGGCAGTGAATGACACAGCCTCAAGGCTGTTTCAGTGGCTGGGAGAGATTTATTTTTTGCCTGATCTGAGCTGCTGCCCTGCCCTGGAGTCTCCATGGGCCTGGCTGGTCTACAGCTCCACTCTGTATTCTAGGACCATGCTCTCCTCCTTCCCTCCTCCAATTCAACGTGACCACTATTGATGCTGGGGCCTGGAGCCTTTAATCCTATGGCAGGGATTCTTAACCCTTTGTGGGTCACGGATCCCTTGAGCAGTCTGGTGAAGCTTAAGGCCCCCTTCTCAGAATCATATTTTTAAATGCATAAAACAGAATAGCTAAGATTACAAAAGAAACCAATTATATTGAAATAGTTATAAAAAAAAAAGTTCACAGACCAAAGGTTAAGAACATCTGTCCTAAAGAGAAATAAACATTCAACCTAATGCTAAAAATGCATTCCTGGGGTATCCTGTTTTTAAGAAATCCTGCTCTGATTATTTGGTTCACTAGAAAAGCCACTGAATGGAGACTCAAGAGACATGAGTTCGAATTCTGACTCTCTCACTGATTCATGATGTAACCTTGAACAAGTCCCTCTGTTTCCTCTTCTGTAAATTGAAGGTTTTTAACTTGTTTTACAAGAGAAAGCTCACTGAATTTGGAATAGGAAGACCTTGAGTAAAATCCTAGCTGTGCTGGTCACTACTTATGTGACCTTAAGCAATCTCTTCCCTTCTCTGGACCTCAGTTTCCTCATGTGTAAAATGAGGGGATCCAGCTCCTTGGTTGTCCCCCAGGGTTCCTTCCAGAGCTAGAGCAATGAAACTTTCATTCAATGATCTCTAAGGGCCCTTCCGGCTCAAACGATCTATGAGTAAATCTTCTAATTAGAAATGAAAAGGATCAGTACAAGACTATATTCA